CGCTTTCATCTCATTTGTCATGACTTTGGATCTGAACTCAAAACTCAGTCATAAAGAGAGGATTGAATGCGAAAAGTGGGTAAAAGTACCCAAATATGAGCAACAGGTACACAACTGGACCGATCTATTCCTAAACAATGGCTACACCATTGAAATGACAGAAATAAAGGATTACTTCTATGATTTTAAAACAGAGTACGCGAAGAGTGAGTATTAAGTATACTGTTTATTCAATTACTGAATACCCTGGTGTTATTGATTAATAGCAACCCTCCCAATGCTGGAGAAGCTGTACGCCGGGTATTGTGTGCAGGGATGTGGTGTTGAAGGCATGTCCGATGAGATGAGACAGCGATTTAAGGAGCAGATGAGCGATCAGATAATGAATGCCCGGAGCCCTACACTCGACAGAAGTCTATTGTCTCGTGGATTGAACGGAGATTTGGGGCAATCGTTTGAAGTGTTTTACAAAATAGCGTTCATTATTGTCCGCAAGAATGGCACCAATTAATGGGACATTCATTTGGATATTGGATTTTTTTTACTGATATTCAAATTATAAATCCAAATTAATACAATACTTTACATATTTGTAGTGATTTTACTTTTTAGAGCCCGTAATATAATATTACAGTATTTGTAATTTAGTAAATGAAATCTTGTTTTTGAATTATATTACTTAAGTTTTATTTGGAAACTAATAAATTCATTTTTTCTGAACACATTTGTTATGTCTAATTAGAGAATTGAGATCAATTAGTAAGAATTTACTAAATTTTTAAATTAGTTTATGATCACATGTTACAATATATAAATATAACATTGAATGCTTAATATTCCGGTCAGGTCTTTCACACTCCTAACTAATGAATGCACTTTATACATTTTAAAGTTTATTCAAAATTTATAATTAAATAATAATATTTAACTAACTAGTAAATGATTTTCACATTCATTGGGTTTTCTATGTACATGTATCATTTAAAATATGTATTGCACATATCTGATGTTGGAAAGCAAATTTAGGATTATGTATAGGCTAAAAATTTAAATATTTGTCATTGCTTTCAAGTAAAGTATAAAGTATTTTTAGCCTATACATAAACCTAAGTTTGCTTTCTAACACCAGATTTAATGTTAGATACAGCGTGACATTTTCTATCTTTAGTCGCAATAACTTGAATAGCTTATGAACGGACAATCCTCTAGATCCTTTAGGCATTTAAGGACGTTTTATTGAATAAATAAAATGTTAATTATAGACAAAAATCTAACCAATAATAAATAGATAAACCAGATAGTAAATAGTTATCAATTCAGGACTATGTATAATAAATGAAACATAGTCTCAAATAAAGTACCGCAAAAAGTAAAGCTAATATTATGAGAAAGTAATTCAAGGTTAATTAAATTGTTTTTTGATAAAACCAGTTGAAAACTAGCGTACATTGACTTGTTTAATTAAAACTGCTATATATTTTATATTTACTATTTATATTCATATAGTAATTTCTGATTAGCATTTATAATCTAAAAGTGTTAAGGTAAATAATTTTAGTAAATAAACTTTCCAATAAACTTAATGAACCTACATGACATGAAATGAAAAGTACTTTATTATGATTTTCAAATGACATTGAAGTTATGTATTTATGTTTATTTCAAAAACTGAAAGTAAATGTTAATTATGATTAAAATATAAAAACTTTAATCTATTCATAAACTTCAAGTGATAATTAGCAGTAGTTTCTATAGCAGTACTAACAATTTCTGTTTATTTTATAGTTGAATGAACAATTTCAAATTAATCTTTATAATCACACAATTGCCCTGGATTTTTAACTTATAATTTAATTTTTAGCCATTTATACAAAAATCTCTATTTAAAATGCAAAGTTATTTAGGTACTTTTCGGGGAATTACCGTATTGTACATTATTACGATATAAGGTTAGTCAAGAGAATCTGCGACGATTATTTGTTTAATAGGTCGCTTATTAATTGTAGCAAAAATCTATACTTTGGCACACATAAATTTTAGGTGCTTAATATGAGTTATAAAAATCAATAAAAAGAGAAAATAATGCACCTTTTAAATTTATAAAACAATTTATAAAACAAGAAAATGCTAATATAAAAAATTAAGTTTTGTTCTGGTCATATTAGAATTTATTAGCGCTTATGATAAACATAAATCATTTTATTTTATTTAGCAAACATATGAGGGTCTATGGCGGAATTTACCACATTCAAAGTTAAACTGTAGGCAGGCATGCGATATATTTTAATAATTATTTTTTGATATTATTAAAGTGTAGTATCCCCACTACCTTAGTATCATTTTAACATTAGCAATCTTTGCACTGTTGCAGGTTCACTTGACTGACTTTATATAATACCTTAAGGTATAATAAGTAATTAAATAAAGATTTGCATCTCTGTATTAATGGGCCCGCATTGATATCCCTTTTTATCGGTCATCAGTTTTAATGTTGAATTTCTGCACTCTCCTCATAATTATTACATAAAATTACATTATATTGATATAAACCTGTTAAATGCTTTAAAATTCAAAGTTGTTACATGGTTAATTGTCACTATATTTATAGAATGAGAACCACTGGTATATATACAGTATATAGTATATATATATATATATATATATTGTATATATTCGGTACTTACTCGTCAGTGTCTATTGTACTGAATACGTGTGAAAAAATTATTGACATTTGAAAATAAATTGTATTTTTAAGTATAAATAATATATCACTTAAAATATAAAAATGTCTGCGAATGATGTGGTGATCTCTGGTATGTCCGGTCGGTTCCCGATGGCGGACACCACCGACGAGTTCGCCCGCAATTTGTTTGCCGGCGTCGATATGGTTACGGAGGACGACACCCGATGGCCCAGAGGTTTGTCATATGTTTTGTTAATTACAAGTGTCTTGAGTTTAATAATTATTGTAAAATACTTTGAATAATGTGTTTGTATGGGTTTCAGACATATTTAATGTGAACAATAGGTTCGGAAAGATATTAACTTACAATCGGTTTGATTCGACATTCTTTGGTCTAACGGAGGCAGTGGTCAATAACCTGGACCCCCAGGGGGGTATGCAATTGGAAACGGTGTACGAGGCTATCGTAGACGCCGGTATGTATGCCATATTCAAAATACACAAAATCTATTAGGCGGCGTGCACAAAGTACGTACGCAAAATTTTGGTCAAAAATTGACCCCCCCCTCCCCCCTACACGCCCATCGTACATAGG